CTTACTGTCTGACTTTGATCCAGGGTAAGGTTTCTTCTTCTGACGCGCAGCATTGCCTCCAGGTCAAGGGGTTTCGAATCGGACCTCCTTCGACCTTTTTGGCTACACTATCCCAAGGAACGGTATCTGCTTGTCAAGTTCTACAACGGCAAGTGATATCACCACTTGGTCCCCCATGCGAGTCAATACTGAAAGTCAATTTGAAGACAGCTACCACTATTTGAAAATTTTTCAACTTCTCCCGTGCGGAGGTTCACCGGCTGTGAAGCCAAGGTGCGCTCGGATGACCCCGCCCGTACTCAGCGTATTCTTTGGCGAATTTCTCTTTTCGCAGCTCAACACCAACACGTACATTTGCATACGGCCCTTCCGGTGCTCCGTCTTTTCTTTCAACTTCCATGGCATCCGTCATACTAAAGCCTGAGTCACCACTGCCACATCCTACCTACATAGAAACAGGGCTCACACTCCCAACGTTTTTACAACGTTCCAAAGTGAAATGACAGGGGACAGAATTAAACATCTTACGACAGAACGCAGCTACTGACCCAACTAGGTCACAAATTTTGACCAGATAACGGGATGAAGACACGACGTAGCTGTACATTGTCGGAAACCCCGTGGACAGGACGACAAATCTAATACGAAGGTGTTCCCTTGTACCCGTCTAGGATGTGAATAGATATGAGCAAGGACAGCAGCTGATCAACAACTGGAGTTTAGTTGCTCTGATACCTTACAAGTGTCATTGACATGTGTCTGAGATGGCCAAGGTGCGTATGGCGATTGTGACTCACTCGTGTCTTCCTTGTTCATTTACTTCGCTAGGAATCTGTTCACAGAAGGCAGGAGGAAATAGGAGGTACTAGTATGATATTAATGTACGAACTCGTGTGGATACACCGTATTAACAATAGACAGGATGTAAGGTAAAGTCCTGAAGGTAAGTATGATACAGAGAAACCGTAATCCGTAATTAGATACGCTATCTTTGCAGGTACTGATTCATTTGATCGTTCAAAATAGCACGTATCAGCACGTATCATTTTCTTTCACAGATCTTCGGACAGTCATTGTCTATACAAGGACATTAGAGGAAACTTATAGGAGGTTTACTGTAATGAGAGATGCTCGAGGCAATACGGCGGACCGGTGTGGGGAACAAACACCCGGCATTGAGGACAGAACCTAGGACGAGCAATCCTTTTACTCCCCAACTCCTTCACAAGTTCATTCGACGCTGTCCGAACTTCATAAAGCTCATACCAATAACCCTGATCGGAGTTAGTGTAGGGCTGTCCATCGTCAGTGGCTGCCCGCATCACGATACGACTGGATACGATGAGTTTCGTGCGACGTTGAACGGCGTCCGCCAGTCCCTCGAGGATGAAGAGTGGATCGACGGACACCAACGATTGGTTGACGAAAACGCGGCGGTCTAATTCTACACAGCCAAAGGTTATGGCCCCTATATCAAATCGAACAGGATTAACGACAAAGTGCATTTTTTGAACGATTGAAGCGAGAGGCCTACCACTGTAGACGGTCCAAACGAGGGGCTCCCAGCGACTCGCATCACCTTCGATGAGTCTCATGCGGACACGGAAGCTTCGGTCTACTTGGGTGGCATTGTCGAAAATTTGGACCCAGTGAAAGACCTCCGTGAGGCCACCAAACGGGAATTCAACAGGAAGGGGATAGTTAGGGTGTGGCGGGGGTAATCCGATTGTTGTTCGGTATGTTTTCAGAGCGTTGATAAACCCGGCCAACCAGTCGTGGGTGAGATAAACAAGGGTGTCGAGAATGGGGCCGAAGTCGTCTTGCGAGCTCGAATCCATTGAATACGTGGGTAGTAAGAGGTGATAAGAGGTGATATGAGGTAGTGAGGTTGTCGGGCTTAAGGAACGCGTCCTTTATATCGCGTTTTTGGTCAGGAAAGCTTTGACGGAATGAGTTACTTAAACAAAATTAGCCGCATCCCTGTCTTTTAATTCTCAATTGTCCGTCTCGTTATATTATGCCTATTCACCCTGCCGGAATATAGACGCTCGTTTGAGCGAGTATTTTTGTGGCCCTATAAACTAACCGCTTACACTGTGGCGCAAAAATAACTTGTCATGGCTAAGAGGACCCTAACCTGAATGGGAACAAAGGTCTCAAATTGCAGTCGGGATTAGCGCGCGGTGGAACGATAAACAACCCTGCCAAGGTCCGTTTTTGGGTGCAATGGAGGAGCACCAAAGGGGCGTTTTCAAGAATCAGTAACCATTTAGGCTCAGAAGCCCACATCTCGGTCTTCGGGAAATGTTTTTGTTTCAGAAGTGACGAGATTCGTATCATTGTACCTGTCTTCGGATATGAGCACTCTTCTTATGAAATGTCGACAAAACGAGTCGGCCTCACCGGCATAAGTGGCGTTTAGCCAACGAGCGACCTAGGAACGTCAACATAAAAGTTGCTAGAGAAGCCGCCACTCATCTCCAGAGGCCCAAGTCCTGGGGTATCAAAGTTACAATATGCCAATTAGACTGGATACCAACGAAGCTGACCTTTTGTCTTTGTAAATCTAAAGCGATGTGGTCGTCGTCGCCTAGTATAGAAAAGTAGGAGGTGCGTTCTGATTGTAATCGGAAATCGTCATTGTCGAAGTCCGAACAGTCGGTAAATGGATAACCTTTTTTGGGCGGTATCTCCCTAGAAAAATACCGTGCTTTGAGTCGACAAGATCTCTGATTTTCTCAGTGTTTAAAGCTCAAGTGGAGACACAGTGGACGTAAAATGTCAAGTTGTCATCTGAGCAATTTCTTCGCCACCGGAACTACCATGCGTGAGCCACGCGATTTTTCCGCGACACTCGTCGGCGACCTCAGTGACCTTCGCTAAAGCCACTTTTTGACAGAAACCATGACATAAGCTACACTGTTGACGACACATGCGAGATTTCGATTAGAATTGAAGTAGGGAATTGGAGTTTAGAGAGGCGAGTCAGGCGGCATATGAATTCAATGGTAATCGACGTCCGCCGATTGCGCAAGTTCGTGTCCACGCAGTGCGTGAATAGGCTAGGAATTGATCCGTTCAAGGTGGTCTTGTGCTGGAACGTAGTAAATCCTCTGCCCGCCGTTGTGCAATGAGGGTTTGTTAATGGGCCCCTCATAGTCAAGATCTTGGTATTTGAGACGCTCAGCCATCCGCCGCGTGTGTGGCGCGAGAGTTTTTTGAATTCTTAATACAATCCCCTGATGCCACAGATTTGACAGCTCTGGTGCACACTTGCCCGTTTGGAATTCGAAGCTGGTGCTGCTCCGCTGCGAGCTACCAGCGTGATCTCATAACTCGTTGGTTCCGAGAGCGCTTCGGGCTCCAAGCCATTGATTAACACAGCAAGAAGAAAGTTTAAGTTCATATCAAGTGTGGATTAGTTCAGTCACAGCGGTAAGCCATAGTGATGAGTCGAGGTGACTCCCTGGCAGTGAACGTGGGGTTCCACTCCTCTTGAGGTATTTTCCATGCTCTGTTGAAGTATTGCAGCTTCTACGTTCTTCCTTGGCGTCTTATCTCAGTTACGGAAACGCGTCGTTTTAGTATTCACTAACCCCAAGTTTGACTCAAGATGTCAGATCTTCTCCCTCTCCGTACTCGTCGCGGCGTCTTCTTAGCCATAGATACGAGAGGTGTTGCGTGGTTACACTGACGCAGACATAAACTGTATAATTGACGTTGAGAACATGTAAATTGTGTGGATTTAGTACAGGAACGGAACGAGGTATTCAAGATAGGAGAGCTTCGTTGAATGGCCTAAGAGTCATCCTATTTTACGGATTTTGTGTGGAATTTATGTATTTTACTAACACGACTATCATGATATCGAATCCTGGTAGAGCTCCAATCTCCAAATCTCTTGGAGAGCATAGTAAATAGGCATGTGAGTGTCAATGAGGGCTCCGGTGAGTCACTGATACAATCATTGATCCATCATGTCATGCCTTCTCGGGCTCAAAACACGGTGACCATCACCCGTCTTCCCAGTCTCCAAAAATAGTTGTCCAATCAAAATGCTGCTGAGCAGCCTGAAGATAGCCTTCTCCCCGGGTTTCTCTCTTGTCTGAGGCTATTATTTACTGGCTCGTCGCGTCGTGACTCAACGACATTCACGGTCACCCCTGCCCTAGTGGATAGTTCAAAGTTTGATCTCAGTTTCCCGCCTTCTCGGACACTCTCTGCTCCCGAGCCATAGTCCCCCACGCTGTTCATCATATCGGTAGTTCGAGAGACCTCCGGCCGTCCTCCTAAGACCCCAGTCATGATACCGAACGGACTGAGATCGAGAAGACCTTCGGTTTTTCGGTCTAGGGGTAGCATTCCAGGGCCTTTCTCCGAAAGAGTCGAACCTTCAAAATGGATGACTGTTTCGCTCAAACATGAGCCATTCGGCTTTTCGGAAAAACGGCTTTCGATACCGAATACGGCTAGATCTAGAAGGCCTTCGGGATGTTCTATCCTCGTTTCAGGCTTGTCGACGGGAATCAGTAACATTCAACTCTGCCGAAAAAAAAATAATCAAAAGTGATCACGTACGAGGCGCTTCTGATGTCCTTTCGGACTGGTCACCACAGAGGCAGTGTCATTGAGGCTTGGGAAGAAGCTGGACGGGGAGGATTCTTGGGAAGAAGTGTTGTCGAGGATGTCTGTGTGGCGTGACAGTGAGTCGGAGGAGAACTGCATAGTAAATTGAGATTCTTGAGTGCCACTGATGCTTGATTGGGGTACTGCAGATCGTTTGGAATTAAACGTTGTTGAGTTGGAGTGGCCGTTTTATATAACCACATCGGTCAAAGCATTCGTGATTGTCTCGCTCAATTCGGGAGAACAATGGGCAGGCAGGTCCCAGCACACTGGAACTAAAAGTACTTGTATACTGGGGGATGCTACTGGAAATGGTGGGGAAAAGGAAGGCCAAGAGGTTGTGATATGGGAGCTTCGGGGGAGTAAAAAAGAAATGCTCAAGCGGGGAGTCGAACCCCGTTCGCGACCTGCAGATTTTTATACACAGCTGATGGGAAGGTCGCATCATAACCGTTAGACCACTTGAGCTCACTTCTAATTTATGGAAATTGCACTACTATGACACTGTCACTTGAAAAGCAATCTGAGGCTGCCCAGATTGTGCCTGAATTTTGTGCCGTGGCCGGCATGCGCAGTACCGTCACGGCGCCCGTCATGTTCTTGTCCGAGTTGCCCGCGCTGACGCGCTCGAGCATTTCTTGACCTCGACCTCCAATGTTGACCCCGACACCACCCTCGATATTTCACCGTGCCCGCTGTGCTGATATGGCGCGCTAACTTTGTCTCCTTCAGCATCCATGCAGTCCACAAGGTCAGCTTATCCACACGTTTACAGAATTCGCTTGCGATGCTGATCCGATTTCCTGTCATTAGAATCCATTGTTTTTGTTTCCCGTTGGCGGTCGTCGGTTCACCTTCAAAGTTCGGCAGTCAAAACTGTCAACGCCAGCTCCCTTGTCTTCTTTTGTCAGGTACATCCACAGACTCTCACAAGCCCCCACACTTGTCGCGCGGTTACTATGGGTTACCTTATTATTTGGTACAAGGAAGAATCCCGCTAGCAAGTATTCTCGTTTCAATTGGAGAGGAAAGACCTTATAAACGTTGCGAAAGATGACTTGATGCCAAAAATCCCTGGTGGAAGACGATGGACGGTGGTTACCGAGGTGCGTCTCCTTTTACCACAATCATTGCCGGCGCACTGACTGTGCTACCTCGTTCCCAGGCCCTTCAGTTTCCTTCAAAACTCTTGCTTCAATCCTCAAGAGCAACTTGGTGGATGTTGATCAGGCTTGGCCGCATGGTATGAATTGTTACGGCTCAGTAGTCGTACTTCTTCCACTCAAGCCTTGTTTCGGTTCCCAGATTCCCCGTTTCCTTCCAATATGTGGGAAATCTACAGGGGGATAGTCAATGACATGTTGGTTCTCTTTTTGGCTCACCGCCACCAGTCTCAAGGTTTCGTCTACGGCGGGCACGTTTTCGAACAGGCATACGAGAATTTCGCGGCGAAGTATCCAACTAACTATCACATTTCAACCAAGGACATCGAGTTCAATATAATGGCTCGGGAACTTTTACGGATTTGCTCCGATTATGGTAACTACAGTGCTCGTCGTTGATAAGTCGAAAATTTATCCTTCTCACAGTGACACTTCTCTCGAAACCCATTGCTCATCTGCAACTCGCCGATTATCCACAACTTCTGGATGTTTACAGCTGTCGTTCGTTCGATACTATCGCCAACTGGACTCGACGTCTTTTGCCATGCCGCTCACATCGGGCATACACACCTGTCTCCGTGTATAGGAATATTCCATCACCACTGCCAGCGCTCAATCCAGGTCCTTCCACTCCTTTACCTCCTCCCCCACGGCAAATCGACGCACAGCACGCCCTTGATGCTGCGAGTAGGCCCGGGACTTTGTATGGCCGGCAGCCAACAGCTTCTGAGCCCGCCTTTGAACCTTCTGTTATTCCTCGTCTCATTATTGCGCCATCAGCAGCCAGAAGCTCCACAAGTTCTGGTTATGCTGGGGGTCTTCCATCACTACCAGTGTCGGTTCCCATTGTCTCTACTTCGGCTCCAAACCGTCAAATTACCCACAGACAAGGAGGCGGCACTATCTCTGGTTCTTCTACAACCTCCTTCGAACTGGATGAGCAAACAGTCAAGACGGTGACATCGTATTATCAAAACCTCCTGGAAGCTTGTGGGTCGAGCTTTCACATCTTGATATCTTCTACTGAAATTCACCTCCAATCAGGTGCCCTACTTGTAGAACAAGGAGCGTCAGTTGCTGAATGTACGCCAATACCTGCTTTCTATTGGTATTTTTCTTTTACCAAAAATCTCTTCTTTGTCCCCATAAGATGCAGAATCAGTTGCAGAAATCGTGGAAATTTTGGCTGACGAACTGCGGTTCATATTTGATTCCGGTAAGCTCATAACCGCGACTTTTCAACGAGGACCTTTGTCGTTCAAAAAACTTTTTCTAGTGCAAGACAGACTACCAAGAGAAGTCCGGTACTGGTACGATGAGTTCAGGATGCGAGATGATCATGCGAGAAATGGTAAGCTGTCTTTTTACCTACTCGCTTGTCTGATTTGACGTCTGATGACGGACGACGATGGACTCGTAGCACCCCCGGAACTTGGCTCCACTGCACGCTATGATCCGGCCGTGGAGTTTTATCATCGACTTCAATCTGTATACATCTTACCGTTAACAGAGAGTACGTATCCAGTCCCTTGGTTGTTTTCGAGTCACTTGGTGAATCTTCATTTGACACTTTTAGCTGGTATTGATATCAATACCGATGTCGAGGATGAGTCACAATCAGAACCCGATTCTCTCACTATTCGATCGTTCCCCACTTTCTTCACATCCAATCCCCTACTCACTTTCAGGTCGTCTTCATCTCGACAGAACCCAGGAACTCGTCGATCTTCACCTTCGCCTTCACAGACACCGGACCATTCCTCTGTTTCTCTACCCCAGTCGACGAGGTCGTCACCTACGTTAGTAGAGGCAGATAGAGCTGGGTCAGTGTGGCAAGGTGTTTCGAGACGATCACGTCAACAACGACAGCAGACTTCATGGACATCGTCTCCAGCTGTATCCGATTCCTCTACACTGAGGGTACCAGATTCACCCTCTCCATTCCGTCCTGCTTCCACATTGGACGGTGGCTCGCCCTCGCCCAAGGCATCAGGAAAAAAGTCTGCGCGTGCCGTTGCGAGTGGTAGTGGAAGTAGAACGGTTACGCCTACTGCGAATGCTACGTCTAGCAGTAGGCTGGCTACGCCCCGTTCTACTTTTATACCGGATGATGATCAACGGCGACCTCAATCTCAGAATTCCGTTCGTTTAACGCTTTCTCAGAATGCTGCCGAAGCCACTGCTCAACGTCTAGCGAATAGTCGAGTACGGGGTACGCCTACTACCGCTCGTCATCGGACTGGTACTCCGGGACCGTCTATACTTCGTCGACCTGGGACGACGTCACGATCTACGAATGTTACTTTGGGAACGGTGAACTCTACGCTCCGTAGTGATATACCTACTGGTACTGGTGCTGGTTCAGCTCCCACTGAGAGTGACGGAAGCGGCGGAAGGAGCATACGGATCTTTGCACCAGCACCGTCTCCATCTTGTGGAGTCGAAAGCTCTGCAATTCCTATCCAAGTTGGGGAGGAAGACGCTAGTCTTTCTCTTGGACGCCGTGCCGGTGCTGCGGACACTGGCGCTTGTATTAGTGCTACGATTCCGGGTAGAGAGGAAAGGAGTAGAGGGAATTCGAATATACCGATTCATCAACCAATACCGTCTCCATCTCCCAGAATCGGAGAGTCATCAGTTCCATTGACGGTTTTCCATGAGTCACCAGAAGTTCGACGTTCTTTCGCCGCTCCAAGTGGTATTTGTGTACCCGTTCAGAGTGCTATTAGTACATATTTGGCTGTTCCTGGTGTCAACTCTTCAAGAGCAGGGAGTGGTGGTGTTGTTATCCCAACAGGAACCGGTCAGTATGGTTTATTATAAAGTGTTCCTGTGGTGATAGAACTGATTTTCAGGGCTTTTTTTACAGCCACAGGTTCGAGTGTTGGTATTAATGTTAGTAACGGTAGTGCCTCTCAAAGTACACCATCATGTGGCGGTGGCAAAGTGGCCCAGACTTACGCTCGTGGAGAAAATGGAGTGAGTAATGGTAGTCGAGTTACACGAACTTCTCTGAATAGGTCATGTGGGGTCGGTGGTGCCGGTGGTGGTCGAAGGGGAGCAGTCGGTAGGGGTGATCGTGGAGTGATGAATGGTCACTGTGACCGATATGATTGTCGTGAGAGTGGTGAAGTTGGGGTTTACGGTCTCTGTGGGAGTGGACATTCAAGTCGTGATTCTAGACCCTGCGGGTGTTGTTTCTATCATTGTGGCGACGACGACGGAAGTGACGGAAACTGTAGCGAAGATGGAACGGACGCACGCTTTGGTCATCAAGACTGTCAATCTGATCTTTTCCCTCCCGTTGTTGATTTTTCCCCTGAAAGTCATTCTTCGATGGTGCTCTCCGGAGCGATGAGGTCGTATCAAGGGTGTCCTTGTGGAAATGACTCCTCAGCGAGCTATCCCTTTCCGGCGAAGATTCATTCTAGTCTTCTTCATAATCCTTTGGGGTACCGTCATCCTGTTGGCTTACGATGGGATGTTACTCAGTCTCCTGGTGAAGCATCTTTCCGCACCAAGTACGGTATACTCATTCCAGTCGGCCTAGACGAAGATGCGGTGGTCGTGGACAAAGGAAGGAACGTGAACGTCTTTCCCGGTTCTTTCAAGCATAAAATCTGGATTGAAGCTGATTCTCAATACGCCGCGAACGCTACGTTCAAGTGGTGGATGGACAATCGTTGGGGACCTATCCGAATTGAAAAACAAACGGTGATCAAGCTTGGGGATGTGTTGTCTGCTATTCAAGATTACTTTACTACGCCGTTGACATTGGCGGATTATCAAATCATTGTTCAGTCGAAGACGAGTACGGAGTTTTCTAATTTGGATAGACTGGTTGCTGCGAGGAGAGAACGGGGTAGGAGATATGAGATGATGGCTCCTGTTATGGCGGAGGATATTGGGCATTTCGGGAATTTTAGGAGGAGTGATGTTTTGGGGACGTATTTGACTTTTCATGGTATGAGGACTGAGGTTAGGAGGGATGGAAGTTGGGTTATGTGTTTGAGTTTGGGGCCTGAGGTGCAGAGGTACTATTGAAAGCGGTACTGCTTGTTCTACGACTAAGTTATTCTGTTGTTTATTGAGTATCTTTATGTTCTCCCTAATTACTTTATGTATGAAAATAATTTTATCTTTCAGTTTGTCGCTTGTGATTTGAGTTTGCATCGGAAGGTATGTGGGAACGATAGGAAAGGTAAATTAAACATATAAATGAATCGCATAAAAATACAATAGCGCGCGTGTTATCGATATATAAGATATTATACTCAGGCTAATTGCTACAGTTCTCTCGTCTCA